ATGGGAAGCGCAGAGGAAGGGCTTGAACTACACATGCCAGCTTCCTCCTTTCAGACATTGCAGTCAGATAAGTCTCTCCACTGCCCCTGCACAACCAGGGACAGTCACAGAAGAAGGGAGAAGTGTTACGCTGATGGCTGCCTCTCTGAGTGGAAGGAAACCCCCCCTCATGTACATCACAGGCTATTAGTCTGCCTTAGGGAGCAACTGCCTTTTGGTCAGGTGCCCGCCCCAGTCTAAGCAGCGGGCTTCCCTTCAAAATCAAGAGCCGGAAGTTGTTTTCCCCAGCAGAAGCTGGGTTTGGGGCACTCTAATAAGGAATGTGGCAGGTATGGGGACTGGCATGTCCTGAGTCCTTCTTATCACATCACAGTATCATCACCTGCTCCCTGAGTATTTTCCGAGTGACCTGCCTCAGTCTCCTTATGTAACATTTGAAAGTCATATTTGATCAGCCATCAAAGAAAGTGAGAGAGATAGAGAACACATTTCCATCAAGGAAGAGACACAGGTAGATTGTGTTATTTTACAGATGAGGAGGTGTGCCCTGGTAATAAGCCTCTTCTGGAGAGCGCCACCTTGAGGTTGCCCAGAGGTAGAGCTACCTAAGCAGAAAGGCTCACATTGTCGTGGAATGTTCTAGGATAGGGATAACAAATAGCTTTCACTTATGCCACCTTCTATTTATTGGTAGTGGCTGCCTGCAGTGCTGTGCCAAGAAAGATTCTGAGGCCATATCCCAGCTCAGCAGAAAAGAGTTCTGCGATCTTTGTTGTCCATCACAGACGTGGGTAAAGAGAGTGTGAGGGTGCTTGAGCCAAGTATTGGCCATTGTTAATTCAAAGAGAGCATAGGTGGAACTTTCTTCCCTAGAAATACAGCTGCCCCTGTATCAGAATTAGGAAGCAGGAGCTCCAAGCTGGGGAAACACCAAATGAGACTGGGTGCTTTATCTTCTGCATCCACAGGGCCAGAAATTTAGATTGTATAGCACAAAGGTCTGTGGACTTTTTCTGTAAGTGGCCAGATTTTAGGCTTTGTGGGCCACGTATGCTTGTCGCAGTACCTCAGCACTGCCATCATAATGCTGAAGCAGCACAGACGATTTTTGTGGGCCACGTATGCTTGTCGCAGTACCTCAGCACTGCCATCATAATGCTGAAGCAGCACAGACGATTTGGGAAGGAATGGGCACGGTTGTGCGACAGTAAATCTTCTTTTACAAAACAGAGAGTGGGACAGTTTGTAGCCTGGTGTAGAGAAGAGGCAGCATCAAGACCTAAAATTCTGGAAGCTCCCCTGGGTATCTGTGTCTGAATCTGCCCCCATCCTCAGCTCTGAAAGACCTTGTTAAGAGCCAACAAAGCATTTGGCAGGCAGTATTAAGCTCTCAGAATATAACTCCTTCTCAGGCAAATATTAGCAAGACGTCCACTCAGTCCTTCCTCTCGGGTATGTTCAGAACCTGTGCAGTGATGCAGTCATGTCACTTCTTAGGCAGCAGTGAAGTTCCAGAGTCAGCATTGCAGACGAAAGTCTCACACCACCAAAACTACCTTTGAAATTCCTGCAGTCGTCTGTAAATTAGAGTATACATGGATTGAAAGCCATGAGGTAGATTAAAGGAAGGCATGAAAGGGAGGTCCACATGCAGATGCTCAGGCATGTGAACGTTTCTTTAAAAGTACAGTCCCAGCCCAGCAGGTACAGAACTGTAAAGTATTCTGCTTGCCAGGGGGTTCATTCCATTGTTTAATATTAAGGCTCCTGTACCTTTGGTTTACCTTAATATCTCTGTTGCTTTTCTGAGAGTTGATATAGTTGAAAGCAAGAGCATAAGCACTTACCCTAAGCCTTCAACAATGGTATGTTAGACTTGATTCTAAATGTGCTTGCGTGATCATAAGCACAAACTCATCATTCACTGAAACCAGGTTGTAAAGAACCTGGCCATCGGCTTCCTGCCACTGCTTGCTATCATCACAGGAGGGACTGTCACACTCAAACCCTGGGCATCGGTTTTTTTCTTACCATGGGAGAAGAAATCATTGAGGCAAATAGGTGGGCGTGGTACAGCCCCACAGGTTCTCTTTTGTCATCTTTAATTTGTATAAAATGTGAGGGGTACTAGTATTTCAGTAAGATTCTCATCCAACTACGGTAACTTTCTCAGGTTGATCAGCTAGTCAGCCACAGGGCCAAGTTTAAACCTCGGCTTCCTAATCTGTGAAATGGGAATAAAAACAAAACAGTCTCACAGAATTATTGTAAGGAGCAGATTGAGTTTTAAAATAACCTAGAATGAGTGCTGGCTCAGTAAATAAATGTTAGCTCTCATTTACATCTGAGCTCTTGTCCACAACTCGACTGAGTCCACACGGCTGGACCCCATTGGCTGCCTGCAGGGTGCTCAGTATAGGATTCCCGTCGTCCCAGACACTGACGGCCGCTGACCCAGCAAGGGTTTACCTCTGATTCTCAATGAGTTATTCCATTTCTAACAGTACAATAACAAGACATGAAAGATGTGATAAGCTTTCTAAATGTATGTGTCACCAAGAAGATGGACCTCTTCTATCTGATTGTCACTTGAAAGAATAAGGCGGGAGGAGTGAGGGCACAGGGACAGTGAACATTTGAGGAGGGATCTGCTGCTGTAAAGAATTTGGTTTGCTTCCACTGACCTCTCCCATCCCGTGGGGAGAAAAAGAAGACTCAGTTGCTCAAAGCAGGGGTTGAAACGTTTTAAGATTTATGAGCCATGCTGTCTCTGTCACAGCTCCTCAGCTCTGCCGTTGTAGCACAAAAGCAGCCACTGCTGGTCTGTAAATGAATCACTTTGGCTATGTTCCACTGAAACTTTATTTATGGACGCTGAAATTTGAATTTCATGTAATTTTCATGTACCACAAAATATTATACAGATTTTTCCCCCAACTGTTTAAAAATGGCAGAACTATTCTCAGCTCACAGGAGGTACACAAAGAGGCAGCGGGCTGGATTTGGCACCCAGAGCCACAGTTTGCCAGCCCCGACTTAGGGCACCAGACCGAGAGTCAGACCTGTCATGGTTCACTGATTGTTTGAGCAGATTATCTCCATCTCTCAGCCTCATTTTCCTCTAGTGAAAACAAGTGACTTGTCCTAAAGAATCCCGAAGATTCCTTCCAGTGCTAAAAGGCCAAGGCTGCAGTCATGGTTGTCGTGTGCTTTTGCAGTCAGACAAACCTGGGTTCTAGTCTTGGCTCAGCCTCTGATTTGCTGGGGGATGTTGGGCAAGTTCCTAAGCCTCCCAGTGCCTCAGTTGCCTCCTGTAAAATGGGGATAAAAATGATGTCGACTTTAGGGTCTCTATGAAGATTAGAGTGATATGATACTGGTGAACCCCTTAACTCATATATCCAGTAAGCATTTACTGTACCTAGTATATACTCAGTAAGTGCTAACTGTTGTCTTCTTTAAAAAAAATGAGTTCCTATTAAAAATAATTTTTAAAACTCAGCTTTTATACACTTTCAGACAAGAGATTGGTTTTCTTCACAGGCCTATTGATAAAAGGCTGGCTTGTGTCGGAGGGGAGGAGCTACACCTTTTGAACAAAACCCTGTAATTTGTGTCCACTATTGCTGTCTTGTCTCTCATGTAATAAGAGCAAAGAACAAATTTTGATAAATTAACCTTGCATCTCTGTTTATAGCTCTCTCACTCCACCCAGTGGCAGGAAGTCAGTGGTAAATTGTGCAGAAGAGATGGAAAATTTTTTAAGATTTTAATAATAATTATTAATTTTTTTATAATATCCTCTGCCAACAAGCAAGATTTCATTTTAAAATTGGTCCCCTTTGATTCTCTGTGTGTTGCCACTTTGAAGGCATGCAGTGGGTAAATAACCATTTAGCTGAGCAGCTTTCAACAAGCAGATACTAAGTGCCTGAAGTTCAACCAGTGTGAGTTGATCAGTTATCTGTACAGGTGGTTATTAAACGTATTGTCCTGCAGCCTCATTAAAATGCAATGCAGTGTTTAATAAACATTAGAACATGTCAGCAGCACAATTTAAATGTGGGGAAGAGATCAATTTCCTTTGTAATTGGGTGCACAGGCATAAACACTCTGGACCTCTTGATTCCATATCAGGGTTTAAAGCAGCTCTGATGGTTTCTATATAGACATAAAGACAGGGAAGGGGATGGAGAGGAGACGTCAGCCACTTGGTGAGCCAAGAAGAAGCTAACCTGAAATACTCACATAATATTATTAAAAAAGGCATCTGCAAACTAGTAAAGCATTTGTCAAAGGCTCCCTCTTTTCACTTTTTCTTTTCACTGAAAGCCTCCTTTCAGTGACTGCTGTTTTCCTTGTTAACCCTCTTCTCTGTGTGTTCCCACTTCCCCTTCCAGCTGCTCTCTCAGCCAGAACAAGGAAGCGACTGGTAATTTCTCTCCAAGGCAGGGGCTGCCATGAGCAGCAGGCTCTGCCCTGGCTTTGCTTCTCCCTAGCCAAGGAGAAACTGGGGAGGCTGCCTGGAGGCAGGGCCAGGCAGGGCTGCTGCACAGGGACATGGCAAGCTCCCTGTTCTCCCTCACTCCCTCTGTTTGACTATTCTCCTCCTGGAGCCTTCTTTTCATGTGTCTGTCCCTCTCTGGGTTATTCTGCTTGACTCTCTTCACATGTCTCTGGTGCCTTTCTCTCCTCCTCCCTTTTTCCCTCTCTCTGCCTCTCCCCTCTCTCTGCCTCTCCCCTCTCTCATTCTCTTATCCGTCTCAGTCTCTGGTCCCCTCTCTTTCATCCCTTCTGTCTCTTTTTTTGTCTCTTCCCCTTCTCCCTCTCTGTATCTTTCTTTTTCTCTGTGCCTCTCTCCTGCCTCTTTCTGCATCTTTCTTTTTGACTCTCCTGCCTCTATCTCCGCCGTGCTTTCTGTCCCATCTTGCTCTCTGTGAGTGATTCTCTCTCACTTCTTTGCCTCTATTTCTCACCCCTCCCCTCACTTTCTTTGACAGATTTTCATCTGACCAAGGCCCCTCTCAATGTGCACCCTTTCTGCTCATCGTCCTGTGCCTGAGCTTTGTACTTCAGTGTGAGGCTCCCTTCCAAAACTGCTGGGTTCTGAGCATGCCTAGTATGTGCTTAATAATTAAGGCTGTAATTAAAGTGTAACTGCAAGTATAATTAAAATTCACTTCAGTGGATCCTGGAATTATGAAGCAATTAGGCATTTTGATATGGCCGTGCAGGACAAACTGGAGGAGAGAATGGCCTGCATTTGTGTGGAGCTGTCCACCCCTCTCTCACCCAGGCGCTGCCCACTGGTGGTTAACCTTGAGCGCAGCCTCACTTGCCTGGGAGGCAGGAGTGACAGTAGCTTGGAGTCCTCACTCAAGGGCACTCAGCCCAGCCAGCTGCTGTGTGGCCCTTCTTAGAGAAAGAGGCCACAATGAAAGCCCCTGAGAACTCTGGGAAAGCTCAGGAACAGTCCTTGTTTTCCCTCAGGCCTTTTGGAGTTTCTATGTCAACCTTAGAAAAAAGAGTTATTTGGGGGTATGGGGCCAGCAAGGCAGCGATCAGGAGAGGTCTCACCCACACTCACCGCCTCAGGCACACTTTGTATGTATGAACCTGTCCGTGGTTATCCATTCTGTCCACAAGCACATCCTGTGTGGGGATACTGTGCTGAGCCTAGAGGCACGCGGGTAAGCGTGCCTGACCCAGTGGGAGCCCTCATGAAGCCTATGTTTAGTGGGGACAAGAGCAGTGTCAATAAGCAGTCACAGCAGGGCTGCAATTTTAGACGTATGAGGTACTCTGAAAGCTCATTTTCAGTCCCCTGTTCTGGGTTGGTGGTTGGAATGTGGTGACAGGAAGGCGTGCCCAAAGAAATAAACAGACAGCTCATGAATGAATGGTGTCCGCCAAGCAGATAGGGCAACAGAGCTCCGGGGAGAAGGCATGGCAGGCCAATGGCCCAGCTTGCCTGCAGGTTCACGGATTTCTATGTCAGTCATTTTCCCGCCTTGGTAATATCTGGTGCTAAGTTGGATGTTGAAGAGAGTATTAATTTAGGAAGCAGCTTAGTTAGGCTAGTTGATTACAAGGAAGAGCGACCCATTTATCTCAAAAAAAAAAGGATGGTAAAGAGCTTATTCATCCATACACATGGAAAGGAACTCAGAGAAAAGTGAGCAAACAGTTCTCTCAATGGGCAGAAACCATAGGAAAGCTGACCCCCGGGAAGAGGAGGATCTGAGTTAGAGGCAGACCTCAGGAGCATCACTCCTACACTTATCTCTTCACCATGCTGTGCGTGTGTGCACTGCCTTTCTCTGCTTGCTTGTGACTAGTAAGTCCCTTCCATGCTACAACTTTCTATTTCACGAAACCTACACATCGAGATTCTCAGGAGAGCGAATCTAATTGGACAAGCTAATAACCATTGTCTGTATTGGGGCCACCCTTGGATCAAGTACAGTTAGTGTCTTGGGAACATCGGCGTCTGCCTTGGGACTGAGAACACCCCATGGTCCCTCCTAAGCAGGGACAGTGAGGACAGCAGGTTTAGCCAGAAGGGAGATTGGAAAGAGCAGACATCCTGGTCATACCTGATCCATACTCTTGAATAATTTGTAGCCTCATAGTTCAGATGAGCTTCTGCACGGGAAAGTGCTGTGTCTTTTAATGTCACACAGGAGTCCAGGAAATCAAATTGTGTCAGAGGGGCACAGGATTCTGAGACTGAATCCTGTCAGTCAGTCACTAAGCTCTTGACTTTAAAAGAGGGAAGAAAAAAAAAAGGACTGATTTATAAACACTGAATTCACAAGGTCATTGTAAGGGTCAAATAAAGTACCAAGGGGTACTTTGTAAATGAGGGATTTTTTGTTGTTGTTGTGACTATGGTGATGACGATGACATATATTTACAAAATCCTGAGAAATTTTTCAAGGTTTACAATGGGTGTTTCAAGCATTAGTGCCAGAAATCATTCAAGCCAGTGAGAGATCAAGTTGAATGCTCATTCTCTGTTTCCTAGCTACTACTCGTCTTGCTCACTAAACTTTAGTCTTTAACTTATGTGTGTCCTCTCATCTATAAAAGGAAGATAATAATAGTAGCTATCTCAGGGTTGCTTCTGAGGAACGCATGAGCTCATTTACTTAGAACTCCAGAACAATGTGTGACCTGTGCTAAGTGACAGCTGCTATTACTGCTTTTATTATTATTATCACCACTACTAGCACAGCTAATTCCTATATCAGTCCCGTTAGAGAGTGCTTGATAGTCGTGGGGGAGATCTGTACCCACAGGAGGAATCAGCTCAAGGCAAGGAAGATTAGAAGATGAGGAATGTTCAGGCAGATGAGTCTGTCTCTTGGGGTGATGCATGAGTTTCTTGAGAAAGGAAGAAGAAGAGCTTTTTGTATCTTAACATAGATTTCTTCCCTGGCAGACTAGAGGTCAGGTGGTAAGAATGCTCTAGTCCACATCTCTTTTGAAGGAGATAAAGATTTACACATTTAACTTTCATTGACCTTCTGGTCCAAAGACCGATTTGATTTTGTGTCTATCAGGACTTTGATTCACACTGCGTCCTTACTCCATGAAAACGCTGCCTACAGATTAATGTCAGAATTCCTTTGTCTGGTTCCCAACACCTGCCACAGTCTGACCCTCTGTCTTACTTTTCAACCTCTGGGACTGTGGCTGAAACTTTACAGAATGAATCGAAATGCACGCTGAGGTTGTTCTTAATGATAATAATAAATCTTTACATCTGCATTAAGTTAAGTACTAATGTGAAACAAATTGCCCTGAAATTTATCTGCTTAGCACCAGAAACATTGGTCATTTCAGTGACCAATGAGGAGTCTATGGTGGAGAATCCAGAGGTGGTTTAGCTGGGTGTTCTGACTCAAGGTCTCTGGCAAATGCAGTTGCAGTGTTGGCCAAGGCTGGAGTCCTGTCACAGCCTGCCTGGGGGAGGGTCGCCTCCAGGCCCACTCAGATGGTTGTTGGCAGGATGCAATTCCGCATGCACTATTGGACTGAAGGCCTCAGTTCTTGTTTGGCTTTTGGCTGGAGGCTGCCCTGAGTTCCTTGCATCATGAACTTCGCCATAGGAAGCCCATAACCCACAGCATGGCAATTGGCTTTATCAACGGAAAATCAGAGGGAGCAAGACAGAAATCACAGGCTTAGTCTCAGAAGTGACGTTCCATCACTTTTGCTATATTCTTGTTCATCAGAGGCAGGTCACTGGCTCCAGCCCACACTCCAGGGACATGAACACCAGGATGTGGCAGTCAATCGTTTGAAACACATTTTAAAAGTTGCCTCCCACACTTAAAAAGTAATATGTTAATTAAAGTAAAGCTTACTCCGTAACGACAGATACATGCTGAAATGTCAGAGATAATATAATAGAAGTTTCTGTCATTCCTATAAAGTCTGAGAGGGTGAGTGAGTTGAGCGGGCTGCTCTGCTCCACAGTCATTCAAGCATCCATGCTGAAAGAGTCATTGCCTCTGAAAAAATATGCCTTCCAAGCTTTTTCTGGCTGGCAGCATTCCAGAAGGCAGACAGGGGAAAATGGAGGAGAATCACAGTAGGTATGTTTAAGAGTGTGTGTTTCATCTCTGCTCATACTGTATTGGCCAGAAGTCACAGGACCCCCAGGCGCCTGGGAAGTGGTTCCTGGTTGGGCAGCTGCTTTCCAGCAACAGCTCCCCCTGTAGCAAAGCAGCATGAATCTTCAGTGGACAGCCAGCCACGTCTGCCACAGAGAGTTTGCCATTTACCAGATGCTTTCATGTGCATTATTTCATTTGCTTCTCATGGCAACCTAAGCTACCAGCATTATTATCCTCACTTTATAGACAGGGAAACAGACCAGCGTATCGTTAGGACATATCTGGAGCAAGCAGGATTCAAGTCCCATCACTGCCAGTTAGACCCTGTGTGTCTGTGCAGTTCTTTAACCTCTCTGTGCCTCAGTTATCTCATCTGTGAAACTGGACAATGAGACCTATTCATAGTCATTGAACAGATTTCATAAGCCACATATAAGTCACTTAGCATTATATCTGGCATGTGTGTTTAGTGAATATTAGTTATGAAGAAGATGGTCACAGTGTTATATCTGGAGATAAAGAAGTTGAAGCTCAAAGGAGTTAAATGATTTACCCAAAACTATACAGTGAACTCAGAGCAGAGCCAGGATGAGAGGCTGGAGATTTTAGATAACAACTTTTCTACCTTTGGAGTTCTTGCTTGCCCTAGAGGTTGTGTGGAAGCAGCAGCAAGTAAGCCTTGAGCCGAAGACACAGTGCCGGTATCTCCTTCAGCACAGCTTTGGTGGACCCCAGGTCCCCAAAGAGTCAGCACTGCATCACCTTCTCAGCTCAGCTGTTCCTCCTTCACTCGGCCTTTGTCTTTTTGTGTGAAACATGCTGACTGAGTACTTCCTTTATATTTGTACTCTGAGGTCCTCCAAGTTCCATATTTCAAAGTCTTTGTTTATAAATAGGCTCTGTTTTGCTAACTAGATAAAAGCATAGGAGATGATAGAAGATGAGATATTTCATTAGATACTTAAATTTTATCACATTTCTCCCAGAAGCTTCTTCACACTGAAAGAAAATAACAGAAAAGCATTTCACATGTTTAATAGTCACTTAAGCACACATTTGGGTGGGGTGGATTGACCGGCAAATGCTACACATCCACCAGGAAGGGCCAAGAGATGTCATCAGAGGCTACAATGCTCATTTTCAGGGCTTCTGCCCTTTTCATTGTATAGAATCAATAAAGGAAGGATTGTTGAGGAGGAATCAGACATGGACACATTGAAAACTGTCACTGTCTCCAAGGCACTGGATCCATGGCCTTAAGTAGGCAGATGCCCTGAACTTCAGATCTCAGATCATCATGACTGGGACCTTCATTTCAAGAGAGCTTTACAACAAATGGCTTCTGATATGGGCCAGAATCACATTAAATGCACTTGAGTGTGGATTATGAGCAGATGTTTCAGCTTTTATCAGTAAAAAAAAAAAAGTCCATTATTCTCTTGCAAGTCCTATCTTTCATCTTTTTTTCAAGCTGGACCATCACTTGATGTACATCTAGTCACATAATCTTTCCTGTGAATGACATTGATTAGCACCGATATTTAATTTACTTCTAGGTGAAAAGCTGCAGGTAGATTAGTCCTGAGCATCCTTGTGTGTTACTCCCAGTATTTCATACCATCCTGACTGCCTGATTTACCATTCTCTTGCTCATTTTTTGCAAGCTTTTTCTTCAGATTCTGTATTCAAACTACTCAATCAAGGGATTTCAGGAGATTTTCCTCATTCAAATTAGTTGAACAATTGGTTATTCTTTGTTCACAGTCTTCTAAGAACCTCATTATTTCCATTTTTTTAATGCTAGAGAAAATATAGGCAGTATCTTTATAATGCCAGGCATTTGAGATGAAAAGAGGAAAAAAAATTGTCATCTGGGTATATCTAAATAGCCACACCTGGATCACAGAAAGCTGAACTGAGTTGTAATTAAGTTGTGTTAGCCAGACTCAGGCATCCCTAGATTTCAGGTTGTACGAAACTCCCCAGGGCACCACTTCCAGTTCCATTTCAGTGACTGTACATCATCCCCCCACCCCTTTCCAGGAACCAATGTCCACGAGGCCCAGAACATTCTCAGTAACAGTGGACTCCCCATTACTTCGGCCGTCGACCTGGAGGATGCAGCCAAGAAAGCTGTGGCCAGCGTGGCTAAGAAGTGATGCCTTTGTCCTTATCCCTCAGAGGAAGAAGTGCATTTTCCCATTAAAAGGGATGGTTCTCTCATCACTGTGAAGGAAATGGTTGTCCCATTGGGGGAAAAATAGGTGGGAAGGGAGGAGAAAGAATCTCTGTATTAAAAAACCTTGAATCTGTATTTTCTTGAATAAGATATTTTGACAGCCTAAATAATCTGATTTCCTTTATAGCCTTTAATAGAGTAATGCCTTATGTTCTCATACTTTTCCGTCCTGGCGAACCAGCTCAGTAGGCATTGTTTTACCAACTTCGAGGAGCAGTCTGTGTGGCCAAACAGCATATATGCATATATACAGCATTTGA